ACATCCTGCATATACCACTGGTAAGGCTTCCATCGTAACAGGATTATTGAATAACCAATCTCCCGCCGCGGAGCACAGGCTCCGGAGGCGCAGGCCCAGCGGCCATGTCCCACAGGCCCAGCCGCTCCGCGGCACATGGGATCCTCCCGGACCAGGGCACGAACCCACGTCCCCTGCATCGGCAGGCGGACTTCCAACGACTGCGCCACCAGGGAAGCCCTTTTTCATTCTTTTAATAGTGTCTTTCATAGGGCTGAAGTTTAAAATGTTTCCAATTCATCCATTTTTTTTCTTCCATGGATCGTGCTTTCAGTGTATATAAAAAACCATCACCACGGTTCCCTAGATTTTCTCCTATACTATATTCTAGGAGTTTTATAATTCTGCACTTTACATTTAGGTCTATGATACATTTTAAGTTAATTTTTGTGAAATGTTCAAGGTCTGCGTCTAGCTTGGTTTGTTTATTTTTTTTATTTATTCGCATGCGAATGTCCAGTTGTTTCAATACCATTTGTTGGAAGTCTATCCTTTCTTCATTGAATTGCATTTGCTCTTTTCTCAAAGATCAGTTGACTATATTTGTGTGGGTCTGTTCCTGGGCTCTCTATTCTTTTCCATTGATTTGTCTATCCTTCTACTAATATCACACTGTCTTGATTACCGTAGCTTTATAGTAAGTCTTGATGTGAGAGAGTGTCAGTCCTCCAACTTTGTTCTTCTCTTTTAATATTGTGAAAGTTATTCTGGGTCTTTTGAATCTCTATATAAACTTTCACTTTGTCAATATCCACAAATTAACTTGCTGGGATTTTGATTGGATTGCATTGAATCTATAGATTAAGTTGGGAAGAACCAACATCTTGACAATATTGAGTCTTCCTATCCATATTCATAGAATATTTCCATTTTTAGATGTGCTTTTATTTCTTTCATCAAAGTTTTATAGTTTTCCTCACATATATTTTGTTGTATTTGTACTTAAGTACTTCATTTTTGAGGGTGCTGATGTAAATGGAATTTTAAATTTCAACTACAAACTGTTCACTGCTGTTATACAAGAAAGCAGTATACTTTTTCATATTAATCTTGTATCCTGCAACCTTGCTATAATCACTTATTGGTTCAGAAATGTGTTTTAAAATACATAAAATTAAATACACAGGACTATTAAGAAAACTGATTATTTTGAAACACAGTTACCACAACATTAAAGTAACTTTGTGATAAGTAATACCTATGTCTCTTTATTAATGAACTAAATACAAGACATAGCAGTAGGTTTAATAACTACTATACTGTTGAGGGAGTAATGGGAGTAAATGATTTTTCAAGATATGTGCCACAGGACTTCCCTGGTCGCGCAGTGGTTAAGAATCCACCTGCCAGTGCAGGGGACACGGGTTCGAGCCCTGGTCTGGGAAGATCCCACATGCCGCGGAGCAACTAAGCCCGTGCGCCACAACTACGGAGCCTGCGCTCTAGAGCCCGTGAGCCACAACTACTGAGGCCGAGTGCCACAACTGCTGAAGCCCACACGCCTAAAGCCCGTGCTCTGCAACAAGAGAAGCCACCCAATGAGAAGCCCGGGAACCGCAAAGAAGAGTAGCCCCCGCTCGCCTCAACTAGAGAAAGCCCGCACGCAGCAACAAAGACCTAAAGCAGCCAAAAATTTAAAATAATAATAATAATAATAATAAAAGATATGTGCCACATCTGTAATGTGTTAGGAAATATCTGTGGCTTTTTTAGTGACAAAGTCACAGGTTCTGCTAATATTATTGTGGTTTGTTGCTTACATTCATAATGGAAAGAAATGCTAAATTTCAGTTTGAGGTCAGTGAAGATGGAGATGCAGCTTTTTCCCATGCAAGTTCACCCTCCCTATTGTCCTATTGTCCTATTGTCCATGAGCTCCAGGTTAAGCTAGACCTATTGTCCATGAGCTCCAGGTTAAGGTAGACCTGCAGCAGTTAAATAGAATGAAGCAGATCTATAGGCACTGACATGGAAAAATCTTCAAGACATATCATACAGTGAAAAAAGTAAATTGCTGAATAATATACATGGTGTGACACTCCTTGCATTTAGAAACACTCATACATACTAAAGCAATTCAGTGGAGAAAACTAGCCTTTTCAAAAAATAGTGCTGGAGTAATTGGACCTCCATAGGCCAAAAAATGAACCTTGACCTAAACTTCACACTAAAATAAAAATTAACTCAATATGGATCATGGACTTAAATGTAAAATATAAAGCTATAAAACGTTTTGAAAAAGTTATGAAGAACATCTTGAGGATCTAGAGCAAGGGAAAGGGTTCTTAGACTTGACACCAAGGGCTTAATCCATAAAGGGAAAATTGATCAACTGAATTTGATCCAAAACTTTTGCTATGTAAAAGACCATGTTAAGAAGATAGAAAAAAGAGCTAAAGACTGGGAGAGAATACTTGCGAACCACCTATCTGATGAAGGACTAGTATCTAGAATAGATAAAGAACTCTCAAAAATCAACAGTACAAAAATTAAACAATCCGTTTGGGAATGGGCAAAAGACATGAAGAGACATTTCACTAAAGAATGAAAGATGGGAAATAAGTACATGAAAAGATGTTCAACATTAGTAGCCAACAAAGATGCACATTAAAACCACCATGAGATATCATTATACAGCCATCCGAATGCCTAAAAACAAACAAATAAATAAATAAAATGCTAACGAGGATATGGAGAAATTGATCGCTTATTGCTGGTGTAAATGCAAAATGGTACAGCCCCTCTGGAAAATAGGGTTGGTAGTTTTTTACAAAAGCTAAACATGCAACTACTATATGACCTAGCAATTGCATTCCTGGGCATTTTCCCAGAGAAATGAAGACTTACATTCATACAGAATCTTGCACATGATTGTTTATAGCAGCTTTATTTATAACAGCCAAAAAACAACCCAGACGTTCTTTAACAGGTAACTGTTTAAAAAAACCCAAAACTGTAGAACATTCATACCACGGAATACCATTTGGCAATAAAAAGGAACAAACTTGATACACAAAACTATCTGGGGATAAGATGTCCAGCATTGAGATTCATTCTGATTAGATTGGCTTAGGTCATATGCCCACCCCCAAATGCAATCGCTGTGGCCAGGGAGGCTAACTGAGGTAAATGGCTGCAGCCAAGTCACATATGCCAACCCAGAGATGGGGGGTCAAGTCACCTTCCCCAAACCATTTGGATCTCCAGCTGAAATGGGGGGATGCTGGGATGAGTTGGGGAGAGGTAATGGAAGCCTGGAGAGTTTGCACATGGACACGTTGGCTGATCTCGTCTAGTGTCTCAGTAGAATTTCTCTCATGCTTTTTTCAGAGTACTTCTGTTTCAACCACTTTGATGTTTTTTAAAACCTCTATGCCTTTCAATAAGGAAAATATACACTGAAAGACAAAATAATTTTTTCATATTAATGCTGAGGAAGACATACATGGGAAAAACAGCCATTACTTGCCTGGAATTATCAATATTTATTAATAAACTTTATAATTAATTAAAGGTGGTCTCATGTAGGAAACTTTGCTTTACTCGCCCAAAACATACCTTAACTATTCTGCACATGAATAGATCTGTCTATATAGGTGAGAAGCGGCAGAGCATCACCAGTAATAAACCAGACAGCCTGGGATCACATCTACAAGCTGTGTGAGCTTGGACAGACTCACAGCCTCGGTACCTCAGTTTCCTCATCTTATAAAACATCAGCCAGTGAGAGGACCTACCTCACAGACTTGCTGGGGAGAATAAAGCAGTAAATACATGAGAAGAGCTTAAATTGGAGCCAAGCATACAGGAAGTGCTCAGTATGTACCAACTATAATGATTATTAACAGTGGTTGAGAAAAAAAAGTTTGCAATTCCAATTTTCAACAGCAAACGAAGAATGGTTTTATAATTGGTAAAGGAATACATACCATTTAATAACAGACTAAGGAAGCCAGAGAGAGTTTGTCTAAGTCCCAGATGAGGAAAGAAGCTGAGAAAACAGAAGGGAAGGATATTTGTGCAGAGAAAGAGGGGAAAAAAGACAGGGAGAGGAATGATATACTGACAAGAGAGCGATTGAAGAGCAAGCATTAGAAACCCTAGTATGGGGACTTCCCTGGCAGTCCAGTGGTTAGGCCTTCACTTTCCAATGCAGAGGGCGTGGGTTCAGTCCCTGGTTGGGGAGCAAAGATCTGACATGCCTCCTGGCCCTAAGAACCAAAACTTAAAACAGAAGCAATATTGTAACAAATTCATAAAGACTTTTAAGAAAATGGTCCATATCAAAAAAAATCTTTAAACAGAAAGAAACCCGAGTATGAACTCCTGACAGCAGACACTTGTATGGGTACCTCTGCCAAGCTTGCAGCTTCCAGCCAAAGGAAAAGGTGTATTTTGAGTTCATTCCTAGAGTGCAAAAGAAAGACCAACACACTGAAAAGACAAAAGGTGCAAGAAACAAACGTAGCAATTGGCTCAGGAGAGAGGGTTGAGCAGAGTCATCGGCTGGCCCTGGCCCACAGGTGGGTAAAGTCCTCAAACTCCTGCCTGCAACCCTCTGGGCTAATCAATGGCCAGCAATGACGTTGGGAAAGCTTACCCTGCACGGGGAAGCCCGGTTGCTCACCATTCTCAGCTGCACACGTAAAAGCCACCATGGAGGGTGCAGGCACCGCTGTCCCAGGTGGACACCATTCTGGACACCACTCTGGACACCACCCAGAGGACAGTGGAAGGCAGGCCCTGCTGCAGCACCAGGCACCAGAGACACATTGTAGGTGAGGAGTGAGAGGAGAGAGGCTGAGGGTAGGAGGGGGCCCATCCTGTCTCTTCCCCTGCGTGTGTCCACAGCCCACGCTCTGAGCGTCAGTCCCTCTGCAAGTCTAACCACAGGCAGGGGCTTGGACTCGGGGCCTTCTCCTTGAGCTCGCTGACGTCCGTCGCGTCCTGCAGGAGCAGAGATGGGGCCGAGTGGCGCAGCCGCGGTGGCCGTGGGGCTGTGGGTCTTGGTGACGGTGGGCGTGGCCGCGGACCCCGAAGTGGTGGAGCCTCCGCGCCGCTTCCTCTCACACTACCGCTCCCTGGACCCCGGGCGCTGCTGGCCATCAAGGCACTGAGGGACCGCTATGTGAGTGATGCTCAGACGCCCCCGCCCCCTGGACCCGGGCCCACCGGGCTCGGAGACACCAGACTTTGTCCCGAGGGGCCCTAGCGTCCTAGCGTCCAGCAGGCACATCTCAGATTTCAGGGTCCAGAACTGTGACCACGACCTCTTCCCGGAGGCCCCGGTGGTCAGCTCATGCACGGCCTTGGTGCGGGCCACAGAGCGGCGCCCCCTCCAGGCGGACTCGGCTCCACATCGGGGCGCAGGCTCCGCACGGGGAGCGCGGGTGCCTTTCAGCCCCGCTCAGCCATCGGAGCGCTGCCCGGTTCGGGACACGATAAGCACAACCGTCCCGGCCGGTCCCCAGCCACGTCCAGGAATCTCCGACGTCCCAGCGCTTCAGGGGCCCTTGCCAGGAGACTCCGCGTCACCCCAGCCCTTGCCCCGCAGGAAGAAGAGACGCTGAGCTGGAGGCCGCGCAACTGCTCGTTCCGCCGGAGGAGGGACCCCCCGCGGCCTTCCGTGAGGCCCGACGCCGGCGGGCGGGGTGGGGGAGGGCGGGCTGGCGCGCGGGCCCGTCTAACTCCCGCCCGGTGCCCGCAGTCCCGTGCGCTGCTCCGCCAGGTGGCCCGCGGCCTCGCCGACGCCCAAGACGGGCTGAGCAGCCTGCC